GACTGAGCAACTTCACTTTCACTCCTCACTTTCATGGATTGGAGAAGGAAATGGCAACACACTCCTGTGTTCTTGCCTGGAAAATCCCAGGGATGGGGAAGCCTGGTGGGCTGCTGTCTATGGGATCACACAGATTCGGACACGACTGAAGTGACTTAGCAGCAGCAGCAGAGTATTGTTGCCTGAAAAATCCCATGGACAGAGGAAGCCTGACAGGCTACAGTCCATGGGGTTGCAAAGAGTTGGACACAATTGAGAACACACATTAGTTTCACATATGTTACATGAAATAGAGAGTTTATGGGTGTAATTTACAAATAATGATTCTACTATTGACCTATTTACAATTAGACTTGATTGAATAGATATCCCGAGCATATAAAATAACATAATTGAGATAATTTTAGGTGTATCATATATTTGGCAGCCTTAACACTGATAGCAAATAAAACCACGGTTTTAAAAATCAGGTTTTTAAAAAACCTTCTTAATGTTTTTATGAACATTCAAATTTAGAGGGAAATTCCCTTTTGTATATAACTCAGATTATCAAAAGGCAAATGATTTGTTTACTATATACTAGAAACCCCTATTTAATATTTGCTCACTTTTTGTTCTGTACTGTGAGGAGATCCCTTTGGGCTGCTGACAGCATCAGTTATTTCGTAATTTCTGACTCCTTTGACTTTCTTGATAGAGAGAGGGACATTGAACCCACCCCAGTTTGTCTCAGTACCTGAGTCTTCAGGTCTCAGCAAAGATGTTGTTGTCATTTAGGTCTGTCTCCAAAATCGTGACTGTGGTGGTTTAGTTGCCAAGTCGTGTCCTACTCCTGCAACCCTATAGACTGTAGCTGGCCAGGCTCCTCCGTTCATGGGATTCTCCAGGCAAGAGTACTGGACTGGGTTGCCATTTCCTATTCCAGGGAATCTTCCTGACTCAGGGATCGATCCAGCTCTCCTGCACTGCAGGCAGATTCTTTACCGACTGAGCCGCCAGGGAGGCCCTAAAATCATGACTGGCCAGATCCAAATCTCGCAGTGACACTGATGATAAAGTATGTCCTCGGTAGGCTGCAGTCCATGGGGTCGCCAAGAGTTGGACACGACTGAGCGACTTCACTTTCACTTTTCACTTTCCTGCATTGGAGAAGGAAATGGCAACCCACTCCAGTGTTCTTGCCTGGGGAATCCCAGGGACGGGGGAGCCTGGTAGGCTGCCATCTATGGGGTCGCACAGAGTCGGACACGACTGAAGCGACTTAGCAGCAGCAGCAACAACTTTCTAATGGACAATGAGCAGTTCATTCATTTCTCAGCGACTCTCCTTCTAAACCCCTGTAAGTTCAAGAGACACTACAAACAGTGCAAATAAATAACAAAGATTTTCATCGGCATCTATCACCTCGCTTTTGTAAACATCTCGCAATATTAATTGAGCAGCCACCATGATGCAAACCATATCAAGGACTAAAAACTGTTTTTGTGCTTTAAAACACTGATGCTCTTAGAAAGAACTGACTATAACAGGATTGTGCAACTATCACTCATCAAGCCTAGTGGGGAGGGCGGTGTTGAGAGGGAGAGACCAACCATGAGCACTCTTCCGTGGCCCCCAGGCCGGCCTCCTGCTTTGAGGCAGCAATAATTCGCCAGCACGCCCCTGGGCGCATACCAGTTTCCAGCCTCTGTCCGCTCCTTTGTCCGCTGCTCAGGGATCACAGACCCCACTGCGTTTTCTCCTGTCTCGTCCTGTGTTTCCGCCACAACAGTTCAAACAAATGTGTGCCAGACCCCCTCAAAACTTGAAACAGTCATGGAAAGAGCCCTCAGGAAGTAGGCTGGAAGATCGCCAGGCACCACCCTGGTCCCTGGAGACAGCTGATGGATCCCAAGCAACAAACGTCCGTCCGTCACTCATTCACAAGGCTGGAGAGGTGACAGATATGACACCTGGGTGTCTACAGATTAGCAGTATTCATTCATTCGCCTATTCAATTACTCATTCAGCGAATATTGTTTGGCACTCTAAACTGTTCCGACCTATCAAATCACTGAGGATCCATTCAGAACAAGACATGCAATCTTCCATACCTGACATAAAGCACTTTGAAAATGAGAATAATTCAGTGCAAGCACATGACTTGGTACTGAGGAGTTATGGAGGGCTTCAAAGAGAAGATGTCTAAAACGTGGAAGGATGAACAGGCTTATACAGATGGAGGGCTGGTGGGGTGGAGATAAGAGAGCCCCCTGGAGCACACGCCAAGGAGGAGGTGAGAGTTCTCAGATCCACACATGGGCTGGTGCGTCACGGGGAAGCTGACTGGCCAGTCTCAGGCCGTACCATCTGACCTACTGCAGATGACTCCAAATCACTAGATATTTGGTTGAACCATAAGAAATTGTCATTTTCTAGGTCAAAATGGTCTAATATCAGTAATTTCACATGGTTCAACCTAATTCTTCCCTGACCAATGTCCCTTGACCATTTTCCGTTCTGAATTACGTTCTCTCTAGAAAAACACCACAGGGGCATTGTGACACATAAGAGAATCAGTAGGCAAAGAGTGGGTGGTGACCAGTGATGACGGCTGACACTAAACGACCTCCCACAGAGGCCACATGGAAGAAAGGCAGCGGCCACGGTGGCACATTTAACCTTTATTCTTAGGAGGATGGGGATACATAAGGACCAGACTTGTATTTTAAGATGCTCCCTGAAGACCACCTGGAGAATGGGGTAGAAAGGGCAACAATGGACACAGAAAAAATGTAAACAGTAGCTGCAAGCATCATTCAGGGAGACCCACACTAGAGTGGTGAATGCAGGCAGGCCAGAGGGCCCTAGGGGGCTGAAGTGGCAGGACTACTGACTGACTCCAAGGGGGAGAAGAGGGAAGGGCAGTGAGCGCAAGTCCTGGCTCCACACAGGTGCTAGGTGGGACGGCCCGAGCAGCTGGGCGAGGGGGCATTCCCTGACTGCATACGCGGCAGAGGGGCCCGGCCTGGAGGGGGAAGGATGCATGCTGTGCATGACTGTTCAGCCAGTTTGACGATTAGGACAAGGAAGATCGGAAAGTAGCAGAAGGCAAAGGGAACGAAAGTTTGTTGGCAGTTGACCATAGGAGTGCTTTATATACAGCGAACAACAAAATGCACACACCTGGAAGGTAGTTACCCATCCATCAGTTTTATAGATAAAGAAACTGAAGGTGAATGCTTACCTGAGGTTTGGCAACTGCTAAGCGATAGAGCTGCAATTTAAAGGGGTGCCTTGCAGCATCATTTACAATAGCCAGGACATGGAAGCAACCCAGATATCCATAGACAGATGAATGGATAAAGAAGATGTGGTACATATATATAATGGAACATTACTCAGTCATAAAAAGAAATGAATTTGAGTCAGTTGTAGTGAGGTGGATGAACCTAGACCCTGTTATATAGAATGAAATAAGTCAGAAAAACAAATATAGTATATTAACACACACATTGGAATCTAGAAGAACAGTACTGATGAATCTATTTGCAGACAAGGAATTGAGGTGCGGACGTAGAGAATGGATGTGCAGATACAGCAGGGGAAGGAGAGGACAGGGCAAGTTGAGAGAGCAGAACTGACAGATATACATTACCATGTGTAAAATAGATAACTAGTGGGAAACCGCTAAAACACAGGAAGGTGAGGCTGGCATTCTGTGATGACCAAGAGAGGTGGGATGGGATGGGGAGGGAGGCTCAAGAAGGAGGGAACACATATAATTATGGCTGATTCACGTTGTTGTAAGGCAGAAACCAACAGAACATTGTAAAGCACTTATCCTCCGGTAAAAAAAAACAATAAAGGGACACCCCTCTACCTATACCTGCATCTCACAACCCCAAACTACCACCCAGTCACCTGACGGAACACCTGGTGTGTGTGTGATGATAACTAGAGTTAAGATCAAAAGGGGTGTGCAGAAACACTCCCCAGCAGAACACGTCGGAGACGAGGATGCCAGACAGCCCACCTGAGCCAAGTGAGCTCCCTGCTTTCTAAGGAGGCGAGGCCTCTTCTCAGAGGATGCCTCTGACCTGCACGCCCCCTTGCCCTGTACACACTACTGATGACCTTTGTCGTGGTTCCTCCCCACCTCTGGGGCTGGAAGAACCTCTTTCCACCCATTACAATCCAGCCTGCAGAACAGCGCTCAACAAGGCAGCTCCTCTTAACATCTCTTAAGGGAGAAGCAGTATTTTAGCTGAAGGCATTACCCTGGCAGACAAAGGTTTAAGGCATAGCCTATTTAAAGAGTTATTTAACAATTTCCAAAATAGTAGCAAAACATTTTCCATAAAGCTAAATGAGTCCCAGGGAAGAAAGCACATATTACATTTTTGTACGTGTTTCCTTAATTAGGAACAGAGCCTGGTGGCTGGGGTTTATTTTCATGAGTACACATCCATAAAATCCAGAAACATCTTGACATGCTGCAGCATCCCTAATGTTTCTCAAATCTGAATGCCTAATTGGGTTAAGAAAAAAAGGCACAAGAATTTTCACGCTGGTTTTGATTCAAGATTCAAAACAGAACCTAAGATGTGCATTTTTCTATGGTTCCAAAACATATATAAGCCAGGTCAACATCCATTACACCCACTTCAGACATTTAAAAGAACAGGAAGACAGACCGAAGCATACATTCTGAATTTAACATACCAAGGAAGATGATTCTTCTTCTTCTGAAACATGAAAACTCTCTTGTGATCTCCCTCAAACACTTTTCAACATCTTAATCTACTTACATTTTATAAAAAGAAAAAAGTGCTGGGAGATGTTTGTATGACACCTGATTCTTCTGTTACAGGGTTCAAAGAACTCCTTTTTGTGTGTGTTTTACTTTGCTAATTTATGACAGAATTGGCTAGCCTTTTTCTTTGCTTTCACTAAATTCTGTTACAATGAAGAATCCAGATGTACCATTGAGTCTGCAATGAAGAAACCACCATCCTTACCTGTGCAGTTTCTCCTCAAGCATTTCCATGTACTTCATAGTATTCACCTTCACACTGGTTTCTGCAAAACAAAAATCCAAAATGAATGCAACTGGAGTCAAAGGTTGAACAAAACCCAGAACTGCTCAACTAAGAGCCAAAACCCAAAGGGTCGCAGTCAAGGCGCTAGTGATGACATCCTATGTTTGGAAAACACTCGAAGCCATTGGAGGGGCTGGCTGGAGGGATGCATTGGAAAGCGTCTGAGGCCTCCAGGTGCCACAGGAGCTGGAGTCGTGAGAAAAGGTGTGATGCCTTTCACCACGCGCTTTCAAAGGCAGCTCTTTGCACATCTGGCGTGGATCCCATTGTACATTGTGCCCCTCCCACTGCCCACGTGGTGCCAAGTGCTTGGTTGCAGAGTTTGGGAAAGAGCATGAGAGAGAGAAGAACATCCCATCTCACGGATGAATCAGATAACTTCACCAGTGGTAGCTGAATACTCAGACCCTTTCATTAAAGCTCAGATAGAAATCGGATCCAGCCAAGAAGTTGACCTTAACTGCTCAGCTCGCAAGCTGTGAGGTCAGCTTCTCCTAGAGATAAACTCAGTGAGCGCCTCATTACACCAAATGCTGAAGGAATGGATTACTCTGAAAGCTCCCCTGGTGGCCCATGCAGTAAAGAATCTGCCTGCAACGCAGGAGACCCAGGTCTAACCTTGGGTGAGGAAGATCCCCTGGAGAAGGAAACGGCAACTCACTCCAGCATTCTTGTCTAGGAAGTCCCATGGATGGAGAAGCCTGGTGGGCTACAGTACACGGGGTCACAAAGAGTCAGAACCGCTGGGAAACTACCTCACACACAAAGCTCAATGGGCCAAAGAAGCACTTTACTAATGTAAAGGAGATATGGTACACTGGGGGAAAGCTCTGATAGACTGAGGTGCAGGGGCTGTATTGGAACCTGGAAAAAGTACCTTAAAATTCCTCATCAAGACACCAAATATTTAGATGGAAGTACAACAAGACTTCTGGTCTATTAGTTGCTAATAGCTAATAACTAAAACAGAAACACAAGAGTGAAATACATATTGTTTAAGTTGGCCTCTTATTTTATTGACTTGTGCTGCCCCAACCTACAA